ACAATATTCTTTGTTGTGGGGCGGGGGGCTGTCCTGTGCATTGTAGGATCTTTAACAGTGTCCCTGGCCTCCACCCTTTAGATGCCAGTAGTCTCTCTTCATTCGTGACAAGCAAAGATGTCCCCTCGGGGTAAAAATGGTCCATACTTGGGAAGCACTTGCTTAGGTTTTTCAAATTTCAGCTCATTCGAGGACGTAGACTGAGCTCTCACTCTCTCATACACATCCACACTGCTGTTCCATGTATAGCCTCGTTACGCTTTTGAGAGCTGCAGTGTTCTGAATCTTGTTGCCTTGCAAGCAGTCTAACAGCTAGGCATTCATTCTCTCACAGGCTCCCACCCTGCACCCATTCACAACAGAAGCCTTGTAGAGGGGCTGTGTCGGGGACATGCTGTGACTTCAGTGTGTTGTAGTTCCCCACTTGGATCTCTAAACAATTGCCTCCACCCCCTGCTGACACTCAGGTGGGCTCTGGCAGACAGTTTTGGCAGCTGTAGTTGTTACAGTTCTGCACTCAACATGGGTGGCTTTGTTTTAGTATCAGAACAAAACTTCAGGCCGCAGCTTTTGCCAGCCCACTCCTCTGCTCACATGCCTTTCTCCTTTGCTATTGACAGCTGGGGCTTGTAGCAACTAGTGGGATTTTTGTAGAAACCCATGATAAAATGGTACAATTGGGTAACATAGCAAAATATTCAATTGAGCAGGAAATCTACATCTGTCTCCTTTTAATTTCTCTTTCTTAGCTCTACTTTACCTTCCATGTTCATTTGGAAGAGTACACAAACAAGGTATCATATTTAATTATGTATATATATATGGTATTATAGTTGACAAAATGTGTTCTCACCACATTTTGAAATGACAGACATAAAAATCTGAGATCTAGGAAGGAGACATAATTGTCCAGAGTCATGCATCGAGTCAAGAGTAGAAACCATTTTCTAAAGAATCTTTCCAGTGAAAGGCTCACAGCCCAGTGAAACAAGACACATGGAGACGGTGAGGGTTGGGTTTCAGACCACTGCAATAAAGTGAAAATCACAACAAAAGAGGATCCCACACATTTTGTGGTTTCCTAGTGTGTGTAAAAGTCATGTTTACACAATACTGTAGTCTATTAAGTGTGTGGTAGCATCATGTCTCAAAAACAATGTACATCCATCAATTGAAAAGGCTTTATTGGTTCAAAATGCAAATACTCATCTGAGACCTCAGTGAGTCACAATCTTTTTGCTAGCGGAGGGTCTTGCCTTGATGTTTGATGGCTGCTGACTGATTAGGGCAATGGTGGTTGCTAAAGCTTTGGGTGGCTGTGGCAGTTTCCGAAAATAAGACAATAATGAAGTTTGCTGCATCAATTAACTCTTCCTTCCACACTAAATGTTTTTCTGTAGCATTCAATGCCGTTTGATAGCATTTTTTTTTTAATTTTAACCTGTTTAAAGGCTTTTCTTTCAAAATTGGAGTCAATCCTCTCACACACTACTGTTGCTGTATCAGTTAAATTTGTGTAATATTCTAAATATTTTGTTGTCATTTCAACACTGGTCACATCATCTTCACCAGGAGTAGATTCCATCTTAGGAAACTGCTTTCTCTGTCCATCCATAAGAGGCAGTGCCTCATCCATTCAAGATTGATCATGAGGTTGCAGCAATTCAGTCATGTCGTCAGGCCCCACTTCTTATTCTAGTTCTCTTGCTGTTTCCACCACATCCACAGTTACTTTCTCCACTGAAGTCTTGAACCCCTCAAAGTCATTCATGAGTATTGGAATCGACTTCTTCCAAACTCCTGTTAATGTTGACATATTGACCTCTTACTAATCATGAATATTCTCAATGGTATCTAGAATGGTGAATCTTTTGCAGAAGGTTTTCAATTTACTTTTCTGAGATCCATCAGAAGAATCACTATCTATGGCAGCTACAGCAATACAAGATGTATTTCTTAAATAACAAGAGTTGAAAGTTGAAATCACTTCTTGATCCATGGGCTACAGAACAGATATTGTTTCAGCAGGCATGAGAATACCATTAATCTCTTTGTACATCTCCATCAGAATCCTTGGGTGTCTAGGTGCATAGTCAATGAGCAGTAATATTTTGAAAGGAATTCTTTTTCCTGAGCAGTAAGTCACAACAATAGCCTTAAAATATTCAGCAAACTATGTTATAAACAGATATTCTGTTTATAACAACAGGCTTTGTTGTTCCATTTATAGAGCACAGGCAGAAAGCTTTAACATAGTTCTTAAGGATCTAAGAATTTTTGGAATGATAAATGAACATTGACTTCAACTTAAAGTCACCAACTTCTTTAGTCTCTAATGAGAGAGCTAGCCTGTCCTTTGAAACTTTGAAGCCAGGTATTGACTTCTCCTCCCTAACTATGAAAGTCTTAGCCGGTATCTCCTTCCAGTATAAGGCTATTTTGTTGACATTGAAAAATCTATTGTTTAGTTTAGCCATCTCCATCAATAATCATAGCCAGATCTTCTGGAAAACTTGCTGCAGCTTGCATATCAGCACTTGGTGCTTCTTCTTTCAATTTTATGTTATGGAGATGGCTACTTCCCTTAAACCTCGTGAATCCACCTCTGCTAGCTTCAAGGTTTTCTTCTGCAGCTTGCTCACCTCTCTCATTTTTCACAGAATTGAAGAGAGTTGGAGGCTTGCTCTAAATTTGTCTTAAGTGTATGTTGTGGTTGGTTTGATCTACTTGGATCATTAAAACCTTCTCCATATCAGCAACAAGGCTGTTTTGCTTTCTTATCATTTGTATGTTCATTGGAGTAGCGCTTTTAATTTCCTTCAATAACTTTTCCTCTGCATTCACAACTTGGCTAACTGTTTGGTGTAAGAGGCTCAGCTTTTGGCCTATCTTAGCTTTCCACATGCCTTCCTCGTTGAGCTTAATCATTTCAAACTTTTGATTTAAAGTGAGAGACATGTGACTCTTCCTGTCACGTGAACAGTCAGAGGCCATTGTAGGGTTATTAATTGGCCTGATTTCAATATTGTTGTGTCCTAAGACACAACAATAGAGATAGGGAGGCCTGAGGTGACAGAGAGAGATAAGGGAATAGCTGGTCAGTGGAGCAGTCAGAACTCACACATTTATTGATTAAGCTTGCCATCCTATATAAGCGCAGTTTGTGGTGTTCCAAGACAATTACAATAATAACACCAAAGATCACTGATCACAGATTACCACAACAGTTGTAATGATAATGAAAAAGTTTGAAATGTTGTGGGAATTACCCAAATGTGACACAGAGACACAAAATCAGCATATGCTGTTGGAAAAAAAATGGTACTGATAGACTTACTCAGCCCCGGGTTGCCACAAACCACAACCCTTCAATTTGTAAAAAAATAAAAAAAATACATATATATATATATATGTATATATACATATGTATATATACATATACATATATATATATATATCTGCAAAGTGCAATAAAGTGAAGAGCAATAAAATGAGGCATGGCTGTAAGTATAACGCAGTTATAGGAAATGAGAGCTTACAACTGAGAGGATGAGACAACTCATATTTTTAAAAAAAGGAATAGATAAAGAAAATGACCTTTGGGGACATGACCTCACCTGGCTACTAATGGGTAAATGAGACTTGGTCAGTTTGTGGGGACAGTGTGAACCACACTCCCTAACAGGGACAAGGTGGATAGCATTATTATCAACATTCATTAGTTTCATCGTCATTCATGCCATCTACTGAGCACTTAGTATATGCCAGGTGCGTAAAATATGCCATTTGATTGTCACACTAGTCCCGGGGGTAGGTGCTATTATTAGCCACATTTTACAGATGAGGAAAATGAAACTCAGAGAAGATAAATAACTTACCTGAAATAATACTGTGTATAACTGATGCAAACTGGATCCAAAACCGCTGTTCAATATGGAATAAAGTAAAGCTCGTTTAGAATAAGTAGAGTGGGAGTCACAGAAAGTACAGTGTTAAGCTAATAAGTAGACTGATGATGAGATGATGAAAACAATACTTGTAAATTTTGTTTTCAAAATTGGCATGGCGTTGTGATTTTTCACTTATCCTCCCCACAAGAAAACCTCTCCCTAAGCTATCCCTTAGTCTCAAGCATTGCCCAACACAGTGCCAGTGTGCTGTGACACCACCCAATAAAAGAGGCCTGCAGGACTTCACCCGACCCCTCAGCCTTCAGTTTCCTAAGGAACACTGGGCAACCGTGAGGCTCAGAGGCACTGACAGATGAATTCTCTGGTCATGTTTTCTGGGTTTGGGAGACATTTTGCTGAGCACTGTAGAAATGGATTCTAGCAAGGTCCAGGGACTCTTCATCTTTAAGGTGTCTAGCCCAGAGGGTCATGATACTAATCCATCACAAGGCTTTGTGCATTCATCTGATCATGCCAGCGCAAAGTGTGTGTGTTTGGTGGGCTCATGTCTATGTGAGAGTAGAAGAGAAAGGAGCTCTTGTTTATTGAATCCCGTTGTGAGAAGCACATTGCTTGTAAAGACAGTAGATGGGACAGACATTTGCGTTGTCTTTGTGTCCCTTACTGGCTGCATAAAACCTGTTTCTGTGCTGTGTCATTTATTTCATTCTTTCTACACTTCTGCCTTGAACATCTGTGATGTGCCAAGTGCAAACATAGAGGAACATAAGCCCACCTTCATTTTTACAGATGAGGAAACTGCATCCCTAAGAGACTCAGCAGTCTGTACATGTTCACGTAACATGTGAATAGTAAAGCAGGAACGTGGGCCCAGATTTCCATAGACTCTATGTTTTTAACCAGAAACTCTACTGAGTTTTGTAAATGTGAAAGCATTCTACTGATATAAGGTATTATTGTGAAGATGTGTTAATAACATATTTTCTTTTCCTTTGTCTTTCTCTTTCCTTTACTCCTCTCCCCTTTTCCTCTTTCCCTCTTTTTTTTCCTCCTCCTTTCTTTCTCTCTTTATTGTTTTTCTACCTACAGGACTCCACAGAATGGAGCAAGAATGAGAGGAAAAAGGCCGGCAGAAAAGCATGAACTGGAGGTTTGTTGAGCTCCTCTACTTCCTGTTTGTATGGGGCCGTATCTCAGTGCAGCCCTCCCTCCAGGAACCAGCTGGGACAGACCAACATGTCTCCAAGGAATTTGATTGGCTCATTTCAGACAGGGGGCCTTTCCACCACTCCAGGAGCTACCTATCCTTTGTGGAAAGACACCGTCAAGGATTTACAACCAGATATAAAATATACAGGTAAGATCTGGGCTAAGACAGCCCTTGCCTTTCATTTATATTGTGCTTTGTCGGGTCAGGCATTGATTGGCATAGCTCTTGCTGTAGGGAGAAATGTCTGAGTCAAGAGATCGTGCCCCTTCCGCAAGCTGTTTTCCACTTTAAATTTTTTTTAACTTTGCACAAGAGATTGACAATTACAAAGAGAAGATCAAATAGCTAATATTTGAGTACTTAGTGTGTGCTGGGCATGGTGCTTGACACTTGCTGTGCATTATCTCATTTACACATTTGAATAACCATGAGATGTAGGTTTTGTTTGTTTTCTCCACTTTGCACATTAGGCGATTGAGCCTCATCCAGGTTAAATAACTTCTCAAATGTCACAAGTGGCTGGACTGGGATTCAAAATCTGGTTTATTGGCATCCATAGTCTAATAATTATAGCCAACCACATGAGGTGTAAACAGCATTGCTTTGCAGATGTTACTAATGTACCCCATATCCTACCCAGACCTATTCACACATTTGGAAAAAAGTAGGGGCACTCAATGAACAACCTTTTCTTGAATAGTTCTGTGCTGTTTCTTAGCCTATTGAAATCCCACTCATCCAAAATGGGCTTAGCCCAAAGTTCTTTCCTCTTTGAAACTATCTTAGGTTCTCCACATTCCACTTAATGCACTGTCTTCTTGACATACACACAGCTTTCTACACTTGTATCTCTTTCGTTTTAAACAATTTGGAACTAGAGTAGCTTTCTTGTATTTTTTTCTCACCTAAGTGGAAACTTTTTGAGGGAAGGGCTTATATATGGAATTCATTTCTTGATCCCCTGAGTGATTTTTGCGTGGCCTTGTTGTTATCATAAGTTCACAATAGATGTTGTGGACTTGAATTGGAGAATGCGAAAAAACTCTCTCAGTTGTAGTCTTTGCCTTAAAGTCAATGAAGGAAGGGCAAGTCCTAACACTTCTGGACCAATTAGAAAAAGAGAGCCAGAAAACAGAGTAAAGAGCCCTGGCCTGCAGCACAAGAAGCATGAATTCAAATCTTTAATCTGCTAAGTAGCCAATATGAAAAATGGGCATGTCTTTCTTGCACATGTTGTGGTATTGTAGACTGAGGATCAGTGATTCCTGAAATCCCTGCCAGCTGTGACTGCCTGTGACTCTGTACTGAATATTCAAAGGCTAGTTGGAAAGTTGGCTCGCTGTGACTGAGGTCTTACAGTGGTTCTCCCTATGCAAGAGTTTATAGGTGAATTTTCTGTGAGCCTTGAAGAGTGGTAAATAATCACAGAGTTATTGGGGAAAGGTGCTTCTGGGCATGATGAAATGCAGGAAGACAAAGGAAAATGAATATAGTGTGTGTACAAGAAGGGGGAAAAAAAGCAAAGGGATGAGAAACATGAGGCGTTTCTTCTCTCTAAAGAGAAGAATATCAGAATTTCAAAAATATAATTCTTAATTCAAAGGTCTACTAAACTTTGGGAGGAGTATTTCTAAATCACCCACAGGCAGTAGTTATCTACTTAATTTCTAATTTGGACCCTTAAAATAGATTTTTGCAGAATGTGGCCCTTGCTGTTTGTAATTACGCATAAACTGAATGTGGATCCTCATTGACTATTTGACAAAACGTGCCAATATCTGAAATCCCAGGTACTGAGGAAGATACAGGATTGGGGCATTGGGTTTAGGAGAACAGAAGAAGTGTTAGGGATCTAATATCTTATTCTGTTTATGTTTTGTCAAATACTAACAACTTCTTGGTATGACTTTGCCTTCCATTTAAAACTCCTAAGGACACTTTAAGGTTGGGTGACTGGGATTTATATTTCAATTCTACAGAAGAGAAGATGAGTGACTTGAATAAAGTCATGTAGCCAAGAAAAGGTGATGCCTGGACTGGAGACAAAGTATGACTCTGAGTCCATAACCACACTAATGAATATGCTGGGATTAGAGGAACCCATTTTTTGTTTTCAAATATTTGTTAGTAAGTATCGTATACCTCATCCAATGCTAGACATGAAGGATAAGTGGACCTGGGGACACATAGTCATACTATCACACAATGGTGGCTATAATGCGGTTTTTTAAAGGGAACTGTGGCCCATGTGAGATACTCAATGTATGCTTGTTATTGTTGCTGCAATAACTTAAACAAGTACCCTTAATAGTACCATAGATGCCGAATGGTCCATAATAGCATTCTTTCAGTGGGCACTTATAATGTGCCTTGAAGGGAGGACATTTGGTCCTCATAAGACCCTCTATGAGGTGGGAAGTGCCTTTGTAGATCAGAAAACCAGGATTGGGGAGGGCAAGTGCATTGCCATAGGTCATCCATCTGGTAAAGAGTGGAGCTGGGGTCCAGACACTGACCTACCTGACCCCAAATCCCTCCTTTCACCTGCTGTGTTGAATTCCTCTCCCCAGTCTGGCTTCCAAATGTAGCATTTCAGAGCTCTGAAAACATTCTTCCAGACATTCTTTCTTGCAACCACTTTGTAAATTGTTGGAGGGTAGCTTTAGAGATGTTGAGAGGTAAAAAGTTGCTAATGAGGTTGGGAGTCAGAATATCTGGATACTAATTCCAATTCTTCATGCACTGGTCTTGTGACATTAGGTAAGCTCCCTCCTCTCCTGGATCCTACTTTCCTCTTTTATCAAATGATAGGGTTGATGTGGATCAGTGGTTTTCACCTATGCTCTCTAAATCCTGAAGATTAATTAAAGTAGCCATAGAAGCCACTCTAGGGTGCAGAGAGAGGCACAGGGCGTGATCAGGCAGGGTTCCAGGGCTGACACCTCCCTTATACAAGAGGAGATTTGCATCTGCTTTTGTGTTCAGATTTCCCATATGCTTTACTTTGGATTCTACTACTAAAACAAAATTTGCAATCATCTAGCAAGCTGATTTCTAAGATCCTTTCTAGCTCCAAAATTAAGTATGAGATTTAACCAAGGTCACATGGTTAATTAAATGATGGAGTTCAACCCAGAAGTCAGGCCTCTGGCCATCTAGTTATTTCTTCCTTCCTTTATTTAATCCTCAAATAATTATTAAGCACAAGCTGTAGACCCAACACTGTGTTTAGGGCAGATGATACAATGATGAGTAAAACAAACATGGTCCTTGCTCTCATGGGGGAGACTGACATTAATTAAACACAAGCATGCACACATGCATAAATACACACTTATGTGTATAATAAGTGCTAGAAAGAAAAAGTACAGGACAGGTATGCCCGGGAGATGATAAATACCACAAACCTAGATTTCGCACCTACAATACATGAGGATTAGGTTGAGCTCTTGTCATAATCTGACCATGGAAACACATGCAAGTAGGTACCCAGACACAAGACCTCATCCAGGTACAGAACAGATTGGAAGCCAACTAGGACGTGCTCTTTGGGACACTTGTCCAGTGACACATTTTGCTCTGTGCTTGCCACTCTTTTTAAACACTAAAGCATGTCCACAGGCAATTTCGAGTGCGTCTGTCTTATCATATGTTAACATGGGCACAGCAGCACATTATAAACTTTGCATTTACATGATGAAAGACATGCCTAACTACCGTACTGCCATATTATCTGACTCTAGAGAGCCAGCCTCACTGACCTGTCCCAGACCTCAAGCCTTGGCCAGTTCCCTCCTCTTTAGAATCCAGGGTGAAACACAGGGTGATTTGGAAGCTTCAGGAAAAAAACTGGGAGGATATCTCCTCTCCTCATTTGAGGAGGGCAAGGCCATCTTCCTCTCGCATATACACACAGAGACTGGCTTTAGCTCCTAGAGTCATGATGGGGAGCCACTGCCAGGGGCGACAGTGAGATCCTTTCAAATTGAATCCCCTTCTTATGTTGTTTCACAAGCCAAACAATAATATCTGCACACACACAATAGTTTGGGCACACAGGGAACAAGCTCTGTCACTCACAAGTTTGAGCTGCCACATGGAGGCTGTGCCCTGGCTCTTGATTCTGCCAGGACACAGTGGCACCACTACTGAGCTCAGAGTCAGGGTCTCTGGGGGCTGGCCCAGGTTTGTCTAGCTCCTGGATTCATGCTTTTGGCCAAGTAATGGAATTTTTTTTGAGCCTCTGTTTCCTCATCTATAAAGTGTGGACTCTAAAGTGATCTCCAAGGTCCTCCCCATTTCTAAAATTCCATGATTCTGTGAAATATTGTTGTTTGATAATACTGTATGTGGTACAGAGAGGACTCTGGCTTTTGAGTCTAGAGATTCAGGTTTTGTTCATGTTGGAGCCACTATCTAGCTTTCTCATCCTGGGAAAATTCATTCATACAGCAATCACTCACTCATACATTCACTGTTTTACAATCTAACCACCAATTATATTCCACATCTGTACTATTATTTGGTAATATAGAGAAGACGGAAAGAAAACAATAAATCATACCCATACCTGCCCCACCAGAACACGCAATCCACACCCCCTCATCCAGCAAGCTCAGAGTTGAGGGTGAAGGGTAGATTGGGGAAATAAAGTAAATATGCAAACCATGATCATTGAATAGATGGGAGTGACTCCTCAGATATTCAATTTTCTCCTTATAGAAAGGGATAAAGATGTCTGTCCTCCCTACTAGGTCAAATGAGATACAGTTTTTGTATGAGAATGCTTTGTAAAATTTAAATTATCTTATGCTTGGAATTAGGGTTTTTTTTTCATTAGGGTTCTAAATCAACATTGTAATAAAATGATTGATTTTTACTTCCTGTTAAGACCATACACATATTCGTCATTAAATACTCACAACCATTCTATGAGGGAAATACATTTAATGTCCCAATTTACTAATGAGAAAACTAAAGCACTGAGAGGCTAAGCCAGGTGTCCTCAAACTACGGCCCGCGGGCCACATGTGGGTGTTTTTGCCCATTTAATTTTTACTTCGCAATAAGATGTGTTCAGTTTGCATAGGAATTTGTTCATAGTTTTTTTTTTTAACTATAGTCCGACCTTCCAAAGGTCTGAGGGA